AGAGAGCTAGGAGTTGCTCCGCTACAAGATGTCCCGGAATACCAACTCCAACTCTGAAAAGAAAGCACCTTCAATAATGATAATATCTTATTTTGATTTCTCACACCGAGAAAAATACGAATAACATACTTTGTCGTCAGCTCCTGTCTCCTTCGCATAGGAAACGTTCTGTAATTTTTCGAGATTTAATGAAGTCACATATTTTGTCTACTTCTAGCTGTTTATTTGACGGAGGAAGCGTATTGTGTGTTTGTGGAGAAGTTTTGAGGTCTTGTTTACACATGCTGCTATTTGGAGTCATAGTTCGCCAAATGTGAGACACTTATTCCATCTCTACGAAGTGTGGCGAAATACCTACTCGACTTCCGGAAGGCAAGCGCCGTCAAAGATGACAATAGCATAGCATATTTAGATTCCTCACACAGAGCTAAATGCGAATCACATATTTTGTATCCTGCTCTCTGTAACTTTGACAGAAGAATCGTTCTGTCCGTTTGCGCAGACGTATTGAGGTCGCATGCTCATGCCGGCATTACACGTCATGGTACGTATGATACAGAGCGAGGTATTCCTCTGCTACGTGGTGTGTCATAATAGGAATTCGAACTGCAGAAAGCACCTTTAAAGACGATTAGAACATATTTGAATTTCTCACACCGAGGTAAATACGAATGACATATTTTGTCTCCTGTTGTCTGTGCCTTTGACGGAGGAGAGGTTCTGTGGCTTTGCGGGGAACTGTAATTTCAGCATAATTTCAGTATATATATAAGGGAGATAGACAGAGTCCATCAAAACACTATTAACATATAGATTCTTTCAAATCTTGCGTACGTTTCGAAGCCATATGTTTTCATTCTATAAATCGTTGTAGCCTATGAAATGTATGCCCAGCAGGTAAAGTATTATCGAGTCTTCTTTTAAATGTGTCAACGCTTTCAGTAGGAACAACTGAAGAACGAATCTTGTTTCAATCTTCATTAAGCCGGTGGGGGAGAAGTTGGCCCTGAGTTCTAGTTTGGCATGGCGTTTTTTCAGTTTTAATTGATGACCACGGAGATGTGTCGTTTCTGTCGATTCAAGGAACTCAGCCATCTGAAGTGCACAGTCTACTCCCCTGACGAGTTTGAATACGACGATCATATCTCCTATGTAGTACCTAAAATAGGGAGGACGAAATATTCTAATATCGACTGTTAGGTTAAGAATATATATTCTGGCAACTGATTTGGTTACGCCGCGAACTCAAAATGAGAGAATTGAGGACTCATAGCGAAATCAAATGGAGAAGATGGACTCCATTCTGAAAGCAATGCAGGCTTAAGTATCCCTGTAAAGGACAGCTATCCTATACTGCAGTTT